GGGTAAGTGGCAGGAGGAGGGGGGGGGAGGTTGAACTGAGAGAGTGGAAGTGGCAGATATTGAGCACAAAAGCTGTTTGAATGTGATATGTAAACTGCAAGGTCTCCTGGGAAGCGCTCTCTGAGCCCGGCCTGCACACTCCGACATACACCTACACACTCCGACACACACCTACACACTCCGACACACACCTACACACTCCGACACACACCTACACACTCCGACACACACCTACACACTCCGACACACAGACACAATCTTGTAGTGATACAGCAGTGAAAAGAGAGGAGGTTGTTGCCAGAGTCCAAACGGTTCAAATGACTCGGCGAGTCTGATAACCGCCGCCGCTCGGAGCCCGTCGCATGGCTGCAGGCCTCTCTTAGTGATACATCTCCCTCCATTTAGGAAATGGGCTTAGGGATTTATTCATTATAATTCATCATGGCTGTATTATCATTATCATCATGATCGTGATGATGATCGCCTTTATTATTCTCATTATCATAATCACAATCTCCACCGTAATGGCCGTCATTTATTTGGTTTTTATGGCCCATTCGGAGATGGTGACATACATTGTTAGCGGTGACAGTTGTTTGATTCAAGGTCCCCACTCCGTCTCCCCTGCAGCCATTCAGGTAGCTTCACCTGAGCCGGACGGCGTCCGGTCACCCAGCCGGGGAAATTCTCCCGATTTGCAGAGTAAGGAGTGGATTTGTGACAGAGAGAGACGAGCGTAGGGGCTCTAACTTTGCCGTGTCCTCGTGCGCTGGAGGTTAATAGCCTGAGTAGCCATGTTGGGCCCAGGGGTGACACGTTGCAGACAGATGCTGGGACCGTGGAGGGTGACAAGGTACCGGAGCCCCTCGGGTCAATCTGTTTCATCGGTCACACATGACACTATCGACCTTTAGCGTATGTTGCCAGACTCCCGAGCACCACTGTCCTCCAGCTCTGTCTGTCGGGCTTTTTATCACGCCGCGCGCGCTGGCGTGTTTGCAGACATCCAGATTAACTTTCAGTCGGTGCTCAGACAGGCCAGCAGCCCGCTGACATCAGGGCCAAGCACACATTCTGAGAACACAAACGCTGAATTGCTGACTCCGAGCGCCCCAGACTGCAAACTACTAACTCAATAACTTCGAGTGTCACTGAGATCCGGGGAATGCTGCCTGTGCGCCTCTGCTCCCGAGGCTCCAACCCGCCTGCCTGGCTGTGAAATGGTGCTGTAGCAGTGGAAAATAATTACCTCCATATTACCATAGGAGGCCACCTTCAGTGGCACTTTACTGTCCCGACAGCTGCTGTCACAGGGAGGAGGAGGTGGGATGCAAAACACACCATCACCGCCAAAGCCGGCAAAGCTAAGAGTGAGAGAGCTGTCAACTCCTGCAGCTCTCTGGCTTCCTGTTCAGTCATTTCTCTAAAAGACTCCCTTGCTGTTATTTGCAAATCGCCTGCAAAGTGCTCTGCTCAGCACTTTCCCCCTCCTCGCAGAGTGGCATTACAAGAGCATAATTGAAACTATCTGATTGGAATGCTGCCAAGCAGGTAGATTACATCCGATTAAATAGCAGCCGGGGTGGGGGGGGGGCTTTAGAGTCTTCGCTCACAAGAATTATAATGCTCAAGTCTTAATTCATTACGTTCCTCTTCCGGTGCGCCATGGTTTGTTTTCTTTCTCTAAAGAAGCTGCAGATATAAGCTCTCCATCACTTGAAGGAGCGGCGGCTCTGACCCAGCTTTGCACGCGTTTTCCCACAAAGTAGGCGATTGCTTTCAGGAGGGACCGCAAGACGACGTCACTGTCTCATCAGATGAGATGCATTTAAAAAAAAAGAAACATGAACATGGTTACCACACATTTCTCCAAACGGAGGATAATAGTTTTTCTCTGGAATGTCTGGATGTTTTGGTCGATTTTTAATAAATATCTTGACATTTCGGTGCAAAGTGTTAACTTTGATCCTGCTTGAGGTTTTTAGTTGACTTATCTGTAGGCACTGCAAACAATGAAGGAGGCGAGTCATCATGGGGTCAGCTGTTCGGGGTCTGAGGTGATAATGTGAAAAATATGGCTTTACCCAGTTTGAGTTAAGAGTAGTAAATAACTTGCTCCCAGGAAAAGAACTGGAAGGGAAGTCCTGAGGTGCAACTGCCTTCAAGGGGACATACTGTAACTTCCTCATTTAGCAGAGGTCAGCCCCGACTCCAAATAAACACGCAATAAGACTAAAGCAGATTATTTAAATGATTGTTTCTCTACTTTGGTGCTTTATCATTTAAGCCAGGGGTGCCCAACCAGTCGATCACGATCTACCAGTCGATCCCGAGAAGTTTTACAATGTAGACCTATTTATGGCTTTGTCAAGAAAAAAACGTTCAAAAAAACACTGATCAAATAATTGATCACGAGAGGCCAGTGTTATTTTCATAATAATAAAATGAAAAGTAAAAAGTATGCAGGGAACGTTTTTTTATGCTTGCTGATGCTGGGCATAGTTTGCCACGGTTGCTAGGTTGCCAGGGACTCTAAAGCGCGAAGAGGAATCTGCAGAGATAATGAGATAATGACATCTATCACAACTGATGGGGCTCCATCTATGGTTGGGCGCACTGCTGGATTCGTTGCTCTGTTCAAGCTGTCTGAAACTTTCCCGGATTTTTGGAGATTCCACTGCATCATTCAGCAACAACTGTGTGTCAGTATTTTAAATATGAAGCATGTCATGGACATTGCGATGAAGATCGCTTGCTCTGTTCGGGCCAGGAGTTTTCAGAGGCGTTTATTCCGTGCCCAGGTAGAAGATTTTTGGAACTGTGTTGTTCTTCGATTCTATATAGAACAGATGAGGCGTGTAAACTTGTATATTTATTTCCAAACTTCCACAGAACCTTTCAGTAGCAAGCTACATTCAGAACTGCCCTCTCGCTCTAGCCTCCAACCCGTGACGCCCCCCATTGCATGCTGGGTATTGGAGTTCAAGAGCTTTCCGGCTCATAACAACAAAGGAACTTTTGCTCGAAATTAAAGAAACAGTCAACAACACATTCTGCTGTATGTTACATCTTTACATCCACATAGTTTGTACTCAGTATTTTCCTATTTTTATCTGTTTTCCTGTTTAATCTTAATCCATCTGTCAGTTTCAGTCTGAAT